GGGTACCCCAAGGACAACCAAAAAATTGTCTAATTATAAAATTGCTTTAATATGTTGGACATCTCAAATGCTCTCGTTGTCTGCAATAGGACAAAGACTGCTTTGATTCTGAATCTATTCATCTGGGTGGAATTGGGGCTGTTGTGGGGAAAATCTAAAACTCACACACACACACACACACACACACACACAAACGCACACACGCACGCACGCTAGGGTTGCAGGGTTGCTGTGAGTAAAGCCGACCACTTTCCTCAGGGGTATAGCTAACTGTGGGCGACATGGTGAGTCCTTATCAATCAGTCAAATGCATTGACTTGCTGATTTTTGACTGCCGAGACTGACTGCGAGGTTGTACACTAACCGGTAGGGTTAGATTCATAATTTTGTCTGGCTGACGGCTAACCTAGAGACCTACCTGTGAGGAAATTCGTGAGGGACATATCTGCAAATCTGGGAAAATATAGGCCCAGTACTAACTCGAATTCTTACAGCTACCCTAACTGTGTATAGCAGGCCCAGGCTACCCCTAGGACAAACAGGCCCTAAGTGGCCTATACTGATAGACGGTCCTATAGCCTATAGCCGGGCCCGGTAGAGGCCGAGAGGCCGAAACAGCAACGGTACCGGTCGGTCAGTCAGTCCGGTCTAGGCCTAGTGTAGTCTATAGATAGGTTAGGCCCATCGGTTCAGGACTTTTGGCAGTTCACATCGTTGACAGCAGCCATAGCCGGCCCAGTCTGAGTCTGCCATAGCTGGGGCATCCTCAGCGCATCTACCCCTGGGGGTACATGCGTCTGGCCGGGCTACATCGAGGCCCTACACTGTGTACTCGTGGGTGGTGGCAGCCATAGATGCCTGTTCCTTCGTCAGAGTTGTCCATCGACACTGGAAACTTCATCGCAGGACCTGTTCTTCATCAGGGTGGTTGGCGCTGGCCTCTGGGAGGCTGTTTTGATGTGGCGCTACTAACTGGGAGTAGGATAGAGAGTGGGGTGTGAGCTCTGAGAATGGCGAGATACTGGAACAAACTCTGTTACGATATCATCAGTGTCATTTCAATTGTTATCCTCGCAGGTTCTAATTGTGATTGGTTGTTGGGAGTTTGTTAGAGAGAGAGAAACATTGTGTCTTCTCCCCATCTGTGCATAGCTGTATTCCGCTGCCTACTTTGATCTGTGTGCAGTGCGGACTCTGTCTCCTCTCCCCCTTCTCTTGTGCATGTATGGGCGTGTATGAGATTGTCTGTGTGTGAGTGGCGGTAAAAATCGTCAGACAACCAAGTTCATAACAATTGGTATCGGAGCGGGATTGGATTTGGAACACTGAGGGCTGAGCGCACAGAGGCATCTTCTTCATTTGGCGATATACTGGCGAGAGCTTCATGGCGATTCATCTTCCCCAGTACTGAGTCAGCAGGGAAGAAGACTTTCAGCGGTGGATTCAAGTGTTCAGTGGTTGCACTGAGCAAGCGCACCGAGCCTGTCAGGGCGCTTGTCAGGAAGTGGCGAGTACAGGGCTAATTCGCCATAGCCAACCCTGAGGGTAGTGTTGCGAATTACCCCACAGTGGCGAATTACCCCTGAGGACATCAGGGAACCCTGAGCGGCATCATCCCTGGGTTGCACTGAGTGAGATTGACATATTGTATCTATCTGCAGAAGAAATAACCCCATTTGGGGCTATTTTTAGCATCAGTGGCTACCAGGCACTGTGGCGAGATATTCTGGTGTTGGCATACTGGGCGACACAGGACCAGGTACAGTGCATCTGGGTTGAGGGAGTGCAGCGCTACAGGATCCTAAGGAGGATCAACAAGTTTGAAGTTGTTTTGTGCGTGGAAGTGTCAGGAGGAATATCTGGGAGAAATTGTCGAGATAGGGGTATCATCTGCCATAGCCAGATCTTCATCATCACCTGCAAGATTCCCTGAAAGTGAGTCCGTTCCATGCACCTACCTGTATTGCGATCCAGATAGAGTTGGTTTAGTTAATTAGAATGGTCTATCTGTCTGTCAGTGACTGGATGTGAAAATCGCAGACTGCATGACAGCCATAGCCATCTCTCCCCTACCTCTCCCTGCTCATTTCTCATCCCCTGTTGACTCTTTCTGATCCAAAATTGTCCTGTGACTGCTTTACTGCATTGCGATTATACTGGGATGCTCAAACTGTGAATTCTGCATTGGAAAAGTAGTGATACTATGAATTGCAGTTTTGCGCTGAGTCTATTTTTAGCCTGTGCTACCTAGGGTCAGTCATAACTTCAATTTTGTCCGTCAGAATTCAGTTCTGTCAGTCCCCAATGAATCGCAATCCAAAAATAGGTAATACTGTAGAATCGCAGAATTGGATTTGCAGTATTTCACTGGATATAGTGAAAACTGTAATTCGCCATACCCTAGGGTATGGCCGCCAGAGTCATCAGAGTCTAAAATTGAGTCTGAGTCAGGATATAGGGTAACTGTCTGCATCGCTTATTGTGGTTGATCTCTCTTGTCTGTACTAACCATCTTCCATCATTCTCACTGATGACACTTGTTTTCTAGTGGGTACTGGAAATCCAATGGGTCTCTGGAAGAGTAGTGGAGTGAGTCTACTATCTCCAGTGTGGTTCAGGGTCAGTAAAAGGAAATCGTGTGACTGATTTTGCTGGACTTACAGTCTGTCTAACACCTGACCCCAAAGACACCTTTCCAACCCAAACCGCTGATTGCCTGTACACCCACCTATTCGAGTGTTGAGTTATTGCAGCGATTCCGAGGTGTCTGCATGAATCTGAGTATTGCTGCATACTCTATTTGCTGTCTGTTTATTTTTGGTTTTATTTTGGAACCGGGAAAATGTCTGATCAGGGGGCTCAGCAGCAAGTGGTGATGAAGGTGGAAGGTGAACAGCCTTCAACCTCCACTCCTCCTCCTCCACCTCTGACTGCTACTCAACGGTTGAAGGAGCTGGAAGAACAGTTGCGGCAGCAACAGGCCAGACTTGCAGAAGTGGAACAGCAGGAGGCAACTGAGCTAGAAGCTGCAACAGATCATTCCAGAAGGGAATATTTGTTGCAGCAGCTAGACAAAGCGCGCACAGATGATCGTTGTTCCCAGATCACCCCGCATATGGCTGAAGTGATCTTGTTGGAGCACAAGATCACCAGCTCCCAGTTCACGAACTGGGATGATCGCTTTTTGTGACTGGAGCGTCGGGTTGACGAGCTGTCAGCTCAGCAGTCCAAGATCCTGGATTCTATCCGGAACTTGACTGCTCAACTGGCAGCCGCCAAGCTGATTTCTCCTCAGCCTCCCCTGCTGAAACCCAAACCATCTCCTCCTCCTTCATCCCCTTCGTCACCACATTCATCCCATGCTGGTTCTATACATTCTTCCCGGTCACGTACCCCGTCCCAAAAGGCCTCTGGAAAGGCCACCTATGTTGTTGTGACTGCAGGAGACCAAAGAGGTCCCAAGATCCCTGCTCCCAACAAGTTCAGGGGCGATGACCCCAAGACTGATGTTGGGGACTGGGCTGCTGGGACCATAGCCTACTTGAGGGGCTTTGTCTGTGCAGAACAGACCAAGGTGGCGACTGTTCTGGGACTGCTGGAAGGGCCTGCGCTGAAGTGGGCCACCTCAACTTCCAGCAGCTTGCAGCAGTCCATGGAGGACTGGGCTTTTGGGCTTGGGGTAGACAAGCTTCTGCAGGCCCTGGAGGACCGATTTGCAGACAAGGAGCAGACCCGCAAGGCTGCTGACAGGACTGCTCGCCTGGGACAGCAGCGGTACAGTGGCACCCTGCAGGCCTTGTTTGCTGAGTTCGAGCAGCTTACCTCCACCCCTGGGTTGGTCATGTCTTCTGATGATTTGCTGACCAACTTCTGCAGGGCAGCGCCTGAGAAGTTTGTTGTTGCATTGTACAGCGCTGGGCACAAGGACTGGAGGTCCTTTGGCCGTGCAGCCCTGGAAATGGAGGCCAAGCTCCATGTCCAGGCCCCATCCTCTGATAGGAGGAAAGGTGCCTTCCCCAGAGGTGGCAGAAGGGAAAGGCAGCCTTCACTCATGCGGGATCTGCGTCAGGATCAGATTCAAATTCCCAACCTAATGCACCTTCAGGTGGGACCGGATCTGCTGCTGAGACAGATGTTGCAGCAGTCGTGACTCAGGCTGTTTTGGGAGCTTTGCAACTGCAGAAGAAGTTCTCTCCCACCACAGCCTCAGCCAGTGCCAAGAGGAAGGAAAAGGGACGTCTGCCTTCCTCTTCCCATCACCCTAATCTGCCCAGAGATGTCCATATGCCAGTTGAACCTCTCAATCCCTCCACACTCCCCTAACATGACCTCAAGATCGAGGAGGGAGTCTGGAGAAGAAGAAAGGAGACAGGGGTTTGCCTGAGGTGTGAGGGACAACACTTCTTAAAGGACTGCCCTTACATGCCAGGTCCAGGTCAGTCAAAAAACTGAAACAGACCCTGGGGACTGCAGTTCCCCYCAGTGTTGCACCTTCATCTACTCAGGTAGGTGAATCTGCAGCTGTTTCAGTTGAGACTGCATGTGCTAATGTTTGGTTGGGGACTGCATGGGCAGCATCCTTCTGCTATGAGGATCCTGACCCGGATCAGGACCCGGGGCAGGATGAGCTTCAGTCCCTTGCTGCCTTCTTCTTTCATCTCAAGGAACAGAAGAAGTGCAAGACTGATCTCATCATGCTTCGGCCACCGATCAACAGCACCAGGATCACTGGGCTGTTGGACTGTGGGGTCACCAAGAACTTCATGTCTCCCAGTGCAGTTAAAAAGTTGCACCTGGGCATGAAAGTTCAGCAGCTGCAGCAACCTATGCTGGTGCGGATTGGTGACTCTACAGTGCTCAGCATCAGGGAGAAGGTCAAGGGTATCCCTGTGACCTTCGATACTGCTGGAAAAGTCAGACACAGTCTGAACTTTTACATTTTCCCTGAGCTGCCTTTTGACTTGGTGTTCTCCATGCAGTGGTTGACTGCAGTCAACCCTAGGATCGACTGGCAGATTCCTAGAGTTGAACTACTAGACAGCCAGGGGGTGTATCAGCCATGCATGATTGTTGTTGATCACCACCCTAAGACTTCCTGCTACTGCCTGAGAGCAAGGGAGTTTCATGCTCTCTCACGGCAGTACCATCATGAGCGTCTGTTCATTGCTTTGGTCAAGCAAACAGATGCTCCCCCTGTTTCCTGTCCTCTTGAGATACAGCAGGTGGTAGATCAGTATGCTGATCTGATGCAGGAGCCCTTTGGGTTACCCAACCGACCAACCAAGCATCACATCGAGCTACTGCCTGGAGCTGTCCCTCCCAAGGGCCGCATCTATAGGATGTCCCCTGCTGAGCTGAGGAGCTCCGAAAGCAGCTTGAGACCCTGACCAGCAAGGGCTGGATCAGACCCAGCACTTCTGAATTCGGTGCACCTGTTCTCTTTGTGCCCAAAGGGAACGGCGAGTTCAGAATGTGCATTGACTACAGGGGTCTCAATAAGATCACTAGGAAGAGTATTGAGCCACTTCCTAGGATCGATCACCTCCTGGACATGGTGCAGGGCTGCACAGTGTTCAGCAAAGTCGACCTCAAATCTGGCTACCATCATATTGAGATGGCAGAGGAGGATGTCTATAAGACAACCTTCAAGACCAGGTATGGGACTTACGAGTTCTTGGTCATGCCATTTGGACTTTGCAACGCCCCAGACACCTTCCAGACAGAGATGCATCGCATCTTCAGGCCTTACCTGGACAAGTTTATGTTTGTCTACCTGGATGATATCCTGGTATTCAGCCGGACTTCCAGGGAACATGCGGAGCACTTGGCTCTCGTTCTTCAGTCGTTACGTGACAGTCAGTATAAGATCAACAGAGAGAAGTCCTCTTTTGGAGTTCCCTCTGTCATCTATCTGCGTTATGTAATCTCTGGAGATGGTCTGGTTCCTGAAGCAGCCAAGATTGCTGCTATTCAGGAGTGGCCTCAGCCTCAGACAGTGAGGGATGTCAGGTCCTTCATGGTATTAGCCTCCTACTACAGAAAGTTTGTCAAGAACTTTTCTGCAGTGGCTGCACCCCTGACTAACCTAACAAAGAAGGACACTCCCTTTCTTTGGTCCCTCCACTGTCAGTTGGCCTTCACACGACTCAAGAAGGCCTTGACTCGTGCGCCTGTACTGAAGTTACCTGACCCCACTTTGCCATTCATCCTGACCACTGACGCCAGTCAGTATGGCATTGGGGCAGTTCTTCAGCAGGATGATGGGAATGGTCCACGGCCTGTAGAGTTTATGAGTAAGAAGATCAAGACCCAAAAGCTCCAGGACTCCACCTACGAGAAAGAGCTAAATGCTCTTGTCTGTGCCCTGAAACATTGGAAACACTTTCTCCTGGGCAGGCACTTCAAGATCTTTTCAGATCACTCCACCCTCCAGTGGATGAAGTCCCAGGGAGAGTTGAATGATAAATTGGCACGGTACATTCAGTTCATTGACATGTTTGACTTTGAACTGAAGCATAAGAAGGGCTGCTACAATAAGGTAGCAGATGCCCTCTCTCGTAGGCCTGACTCTTTTGCGCTGATCTCCTCTACTCACTCCTTTGGAGAGGAGACCCGTCAGACCATCGCTCGTCTACTGCCTCGGGACGAGACTTTTGGACCCATTGTCAGGAATCTGCAAGCAGATCCTAATTCTGAACCAGGCTATGCTCTGAGTTCAGACCTGCTGTACACTTGCAGCAAAGGTGAGGAGCGCTTGTGCATTTCCCAAGACCAACGGCTCAGGACACTGCTGATGTCAGAGTGTCATGATGCCCGTGGACATTTCGGGTTCCTAAAGTCTTATGCGGCCCTGTCGCAACGCTTCTTCTGGAAGGAGATGTGGAGTGATATGCTGCGTTATGTAGACACCTGTGAGCTCTGCCAAAGGAATAAGGTCCAGCGTAGACCTCCTTTGGGACTGCTCAAACCCTTACCCATACCTGATGGCCCTGCTGAATCTGTGTCGATAGACTTCACAGATTTAGGCAAGACCACCCCTCGTGGCATGCGTCGGTTATGGTCTGTGTGGACAGGTTCTCCAAATACGCAGATTTCATCCCCTTGCCAAAGGTAGCTAGGGTACCAGCTGTGAGAGAAGCCTTCTCTGAGAGGTGGGTCACACACCATGGACCGCCCACTTCTATTGTCAGTGATCGAGACCCCAGGTTTTGCAGCGATGAGTGGCAGTCCTACTGTAATGACTATATGCATTCACGAATGGACATGACTTCTGGTCACCATCCTGAAGACAATGGCCAGGCTGAAGTGATGAACCCATTCTTATTCCAGCTGCTGCGTTCTGTCATCTCTCCAGATCAACAGGACTGGGATCTTCACTTGGCGAGGGCACAGCTCATGCATAACATGTTTGTCCACTCCTCGACAGGGTTCAGTCCCTACCGGTTACACTGGGGACGTGAACCACGACAGTCTCTCAATGACATCATCGATAAGGCTAAGCCTGATCTGACATCAGAGTTCACTTGACGTTATCGTTTGGATGTGGAAAGAGCGCGAGCGAACTTGTTCAAAGCCCAAAAGGCTATGATTGAACAAGCTAATCGCCACAGACGACCTTCCCCCATCCGCACTGGTGATCATATCTGGGTGGCCAGTTCTGAGCTGTCGAGGGAGGAGGATATCTCCCCCAAGCTGTTGCCACACTACCTATGTCCATGGCAGGTCCTAGATACAGTGGGCGCTGATCCCTTCGGTCCGTCGTATGTTATCGACGTCCCGCTGCATCTACGCACCTATCCGGTATTTCATGCATCCAAGCTGCTGCCGTTTACTCCAGCTGATGCATTTCCAGACTGGCCCCCTCAGTTTGGTCTGCCAATCCCTGGTAAGGGATATGACTTTGACCGGATTGAGGATGAGTGGGGCACAGGCCCCAATCGGCAGTATCTTGTGAGGTTCGCTTTCCAGCCTCCTTCTGAGAGCAGATGGTTCTACAGGAGGGAACTTCTCAAGACAGCAAAGTCCATTGTGTTGCGATATGAAGCGGCTCAGAAGGGAAACCTTCCTCGCCGTTCACCCCGCCTACATCCCTAGCTCGGAGGTCCTCGCTCCCGGGGAGGGTAAGCCTGCAATGACTTGCTGATTTTGACTGCCAAGACTGACTGCGAGGTTGTACACTAACCGGTAGGGTTAGATTCGGAATTTTGTTTGGCTGAGGGCTAACCGAGAGACCTACCTGTAAGGAAATTCGTGAGGGACATATCTGCAAATCTGGGAAAATATAGGCCCAGTACTAACTCGAATTCCTACAGCTACCCTAACTGCGTATAGCAGGCCCGGGCTACCCCTAGGACATACATGCCCTAAGTGGCCTATACTGATAGACGGTCCTATAGCCTATAGCCGGGTCCGGTAGAGGCCGAGAGGCCGAAACAGCAACGGTACCGATCGGTCAGTCAGTCCGGTCTAGGCCTAGTGTAGTCTATAGATAGGTTAGGCCCATCGGTTCAGGACTTTTGGCAGTTCATTTCCCGCGAAGCAGGGTTGGAGAAGCCAAGCAAGTTGGTGGTGGTGTCTGTCTGCAGGCGGCATCCTGAGACTTCACCGTTGACAGCATCCATAGCCAGCCCAGTCTGAGTCTGCCATAGCTGGGGCATCCTCAGCGCATCTACCCCTGGGGGTATCTGCGTCTGGCCGGGCTTCATCGAGGCTCCACACTGTGTACTCGTGGGTGGTGGCAGCCATAGCTGCCTGTTCCTTCGTCAGAGTTGTCCATCGGCACTGGATACTTCATCGCAGGACCTGTTCTTCATCAGGGTGGTTGGCGCTGGCCTCTGGGAGGCTGTTCTGATGTGGCGCTACTAACTGGGTGTAGGATAGAGAGTGGGGTGTGAGCTCTGAGAGTGGCGAGATACTGGAACAAACTCTGTTACGATAATTGTGTGAGTGGCTCATCATCAGTGTCATTTCAATTGTTATCTTCGCAGGTTCTAATTGTGATTGGTTGTTGGGAGTTTGTCAGAGAGAGAGAAACACTGTGTGTCTTCTCCCCATCTGTGCATAGCTGTATTCCGCTGCCTACTCTGATCYGTGTGCAGTGTGGACTCTGTCTCCTCTCCCCCTTCTCTTATGCATGTATGGGCGTGTATGAGATTGTCTGTGTGTGAGTGGCGGTAAAAATCGTCAGACAACCAAGTTCATAACACAAATGCATCCTGGGTAGACTGTCGAGGTTCAACGTCATCCTGATGAGTCTGTGAAAGTGCGACGAAACAGTCTCACACAGTCGTGCTTTTTCTTTATGGAGCTGTGTATAGCAAACATGACAACGCACACACAAACACAAACACACACACACACACACACACACACACACACACACACACACACACACACACACACACACACACACACACACAGAGGCAGGCACACTCCCTCCAACTCCCACATAAATTCATTATGTTGTCTGCTCTTCGCGCCGGTATTTTCTTTAGGTTGTCTACTCTGTGCTTGCCTTGGCATTTTCCTGTGTTCTTCTCAGTGTCTAAGTGTAGCATCTTTAAGCCACCAGTACTCGAGCAAGGTGGGTACGTTAATGCGCCAGCCTTCCAGGGATGTGCAGACCTGTCTGTGCCCAGATAAATTCATTCATTTTAAAATGGATTCAGAGGCCTGCAGAGAACCGCAGAAAGGGTCTCAATTACTGGTGGTTTAATGCCAGATAGTAACTCTCTGGCAATCAGGAGTGCCTGCTGGACTCTCAAAAAAAAAAAAAAGAAAGAAAGAAAGAAAGAAAGAAGTGCCTGCTGAATGCCAGAGTGTCTGTGTTCAGTTGGTGATGAGTCTGATGACAGGCATTCGCAAAATGACTACCCCAATTGAGGGTTGCAGTTGGGATGGCTCCAATCCATTTCCGGGGAGCTGGCGATGTCAGTTCCGCTTTGGTGCATGCTGTGTATGTGTAGTCAGTGGTCTATTATCGGCCCCGGACCTCATCAATGCATGCACGGTATCGAACCGACACCCTCAGCTGCAAGCGCCAAGTTTCTTAACCACCACAGCGATGTAGGACTGGATTATTGGTCCTCACATCCGCCTGGCTGCCCATCCGCTTGCCTTGTGCTGATGTGCTGATGTGCTGCTGTGCTGCTGTGCTGCTGTGTGCTGCTTGCCTGTTGGCCTTGTATTCCTGCCTTTGGGCCTGGCCACACCACTGTCCAAACAAAAAAAAAGAAGGAATGCATTTTCCTCAGAAAGTGGTAAGATGCATCGGTTGCTATTCATAGTAACGGATGCATCTTGCCATTCTCTGCGGGAAGATGCACGCATACTTTTTCCGTTTTGACAGTGGTGTGGTGACTCTGGTGAGGCCCTTTTTGCCTGCTCACCCTCTACTTCACTGCTGCTTTGCCCATCCGCTTGTGCTGTGTTGCCGCCCTCACCCCCCTGTCTTTTTTTTTTAACAAAGAAAAAAACGGGGACGGCCATGACCAGCCCCCAGGTCAGATTAGACGCTTCAGAGCTATTTTTACTCATCTGACTCAGTGGAATTTGAACTCAGGTCTGTATTTCAACACTTCAAGGGTGTACCAACTGAGGGCCTCGCCGCACCACTCCCGAAATTGGAGAAAATTTTCGGGGGTGCTCTTGAGTCTTGCGACTCGTAGAAAGTGCCCTTCGCCACACTGGGCTCTCGAACGGGGCGCCTTTAAATTGCGATATTGACAGAGGCCACTTCCCAACGAGCGCAGTCTGACATAAGACTCGTGTCGTTCACGGTCCGCTTGGGAATTTCAAGACCAACTGCGGAGGTCGGCACGAGGTGTCTTCGAAATCTCAATTTGCGAGGGGGCCCCAAAAGAAAGCTCGAGCCCGCTTCTCTGACAGCTCTTGAACTCACTTTCGGGAGCTGAATCGGAGAGCATATGTGGCGATGCTTGTACTCCCGAAAACACCGCTCTCTTATTGGAGTGCTGTGGTGAGGCCCTGGGCTAATCTCACGCGCCCGTCGCCTCTGCTCGCACGCTTGCCTTGCTCCATTGCTTGCCTGCCTGGCTGCTACTTGGCTTGCTGGTTTGGTGTTTGCCTCTATGCCCACCCTCCTGCCTGTTTGCCCCCGTCGTTGCTGTGGCCTCCTCTGTCTTGCTGCCTCCATTGCCTTTCAGCATGTGTTGGCGCCTGTCTGTCTGTCACTCACAGCACGAACTGAACCACGTAGACTATCATTGCCTCTAAACATCAACTAGCGTAGCGCCCGCAGTGCAGGCAGTGAGGGCTACGCCCGCATTAAAAACCACGACAAAGATTAGTCAAAGTACTCACACAGACTCAAATGGACATAGAGAGCACAACACATTCAACATGTACTGAAAGCACGCTCAAAGTAACTCAAACAGTCGGTTTTGAGTACATGTTGAGCATGTTGTGCATGTTGAGTATGTTTTGAGTAACCCCCCCCTTGGGCCTTGGCTATGTCGAACAAAGAGTCTTGGAAGGCCTCAGTTGGAGTGGTGAAATGCTTTCCCTCACGGTACTTTTTTGTTATCGGTTACCCAGGGCCTTGGTTTTTTTTTTTTTTTTTTTTTTTTTTTCAAAACACGGGCCCAGTGCCCAAGGCTGATATTATCAACAAGAAGCTTGAGGCTGGGGTCCTCACAGTCTACCCGGAGTGACCGAACTGAACATGGGCCTTGTTATATTCACAGATAGTTGTTTCTCACAAGTCATCCCCGTATTTTGCCACATACATTGCACAAAAAAGTCATAATGGGATAACTCTCCTAAGTACCCAAATTCATGCCGTGAAATGGAAGGCACAAAATCAAGTCTCGCCGAAGGCGGCACGCCCGTCAGTCAGGGCGAAAGATTGGATTCTCGGTGTGAATGGACCGACCTGCTTCACAACTTTTAAGGCCTGGACCCCACAGGAATTCCTTTCGAAAAGACGTTTCCGCAGAATGGCCATCGGAAGAGTCTTGGCAAGTTTGGAAAGCCTTCTGCGGGGACCCCACAGCGGAGGCCGTTTTGCGGCAAAATGCGGATTGAACTTTCCGTAATAGGAAATGTGTCCGGGGTGCCATCCCGAAATGGAAAGTGGTGGTCCGTCCGAGTGACCGCCCCTGGAGCCTAGGAACCACCATTGTCGGGTGGCGGTTGACGGAGTGGTGCGACACATGGACGACAGTGTAGGCCGCCCGGACATCTTCTACTCCCGCCTGAGCT